TCTCTCTCTCTCTCTCTATCTCTCTCTCTCTCTCCTTAGGCCCTTATCTAGTTTATCGAACTTCAACTAGCTGTAGGTACTGTCAGCAAATATCGTCTCGGAGAAAATGACACACGACAACGTCAGCCACTTAAACCTTGGGTGCGTATTTATTGGAGCGAATGGTGAAAGTTGGTTAAAGTTGGGAGGGGGGGAGGGGAGTTCTTCTTTGATGAAACTCTGGATTTGCTAATGTCTTGGCGGATTTCTTCCGTATTGTTCACATTAAAAAGTTTCGAAAATAGTGCAGACGGAAGTACAATAAGAATGTGTCTTGAAATGTGTTTCCTTTATTTACAAGAGAGGGAGCAGGCGGAGGAGGAGGAGGAGGAGGAGAAGGAGGAGGAGGGGGAAGGAGGAAGAGAGGAAAAAGGAGCAGGAAGAGAAGGAGGAAGTTGCTGAAGAAGAGTTTTAGAAAGGGGTAAAAAGAATGAACATAACAAAACACTTTATTCTTAATTACAAAAAGTGGGAATACCTAAAATAAACAGATAGAGTCTAATATATACAATATTAGGTTAATGAGACGAAGTCGGCGACTTATTTCTTGTTATTTCAGTGCACACGCCCTTTAAGGGTGTTGCAGTGGGTGGTTGGTGAGTGTTCAGGTGATTTTTACTCCTTCTTTCCTATCAAACATCTATGGCCAATATCCCTCCTCATTTTCACCGAATGCAGCATTTCTTTCCTGATCTTCAGCACTTACATGACCTCATATTTGCTTTGAAAGTGGCGTGAAACTCTTACTAACACGTAATCTATCAAAATGAACCTGTTGTCTCTTAGCATGTGCCTCAAGTCTATTCGTTTTCCTCTATGGAAATCCATTTCATGCTGTAACGATTTCCTGAAATGTAAATACTGAGGATATTTTCTGTAAAGATTAATCTCCTACATTGGATTATCTCTTTCTCTTGTTTCTTTTAAACGCTTAAATACATGTCGTGTACTACTCAGATTCTTTATAATGGCGTGGACTTGCTCGATCTAGCCCTAGCCTGTCTGAGTCTACCCCAGGATGCAGCATCCCAGCAGCCTGGCGCTGACGCAGAAACTTGATAATTTTTTTTTTTAATGTTCCACTCAGAAACAAGCTCACTGCGCAACGGCAAAGAGCATAACAGATTATCCATGGAACTAAGACAAACAAGAACACTTTGATAGCTTCAAAACACATCTTAAGCATATTCTGTTCCTTCATGGAATATCCTTCATAAGCTTTTAGCATTATTTTTTTAAAAATTATAA